ATAAAATATTTGGGTAAATACAAAGGGGCACATAAGTAAACAAAGTTGAAGATTTAATAAAGCATAGTAAATCTGATAAGGACTAAAACTATACGGCTAGACAGGGGATTTCTGAGAAGTGAAATAGTGAAAGATAGGTAGAAATTTTTTTTCCAATGGAAACAATGAAAGACAAGGCAGAAATTATTTTGTTAAAAAAAAATCTTATGTGCTTTTCTTTTAAGAAACAGCAAAGTATTTATAGAGGGGAGCAACATCATATGTCACTTTAGTTTAATGAGTCGCATAAGAAAAGAATATCTAAGGTTAGAAACTATTAGAAATATCCAGACCAAAAGTAATCTAAGAATGTATAAAGAACTAAAAATCACCAAGCATGGTGGCACATGCCTGTACAATCTCAGCTCCTCAGGAGACTTAGGTAGAAGGATCACAGTTTGAACTACACAGTACAACTTCGAGAGCCCTATCTCCAAATAAAATACAAAGTGCTGAGGGTGTAGTTCTAGGCAGAGCACTTGCTTACCATGTACCAGGCCCTGGGTTCAGTCTCCATAACCACAAAAAAAAGGGGGGGGAGGGGAGAGAGGGAGGGCGGGAGGAAGGAAGGAAGGAACGAAGGAACAAATGAACGAATGAACAAACATCATGAAGAAAAAGAAAAAACAGAAAAATATGCAAAAGACAAAAGCATGAAAAAGAAAGAAAACTAGCAATATCAAGGTATCAAATGTTAAAGGGAAGAACATCACAGGACTTATCACTTCCTCACTTCCGTTGCTTAGTTACATTTGCTTTAGCAATAAATTTTCAAATTGAGGAAAATTCAAGCTTCCATGTCCTACAATCAACATACGTGGATCATTATCTGCAGTTTTTAAGTGAAAAAAAATCACAGAAAACATCAGAGTGTATCACTATATGCCAAAGTTTTGTAAGGGTAAACCTTATTTCATGGAACTGCTATATTATGAATACACACACAGGCATGCAGTGCATTAGATATTCTAAGTCATAATAAATTTATTACTATGTGTGGATCAGAGTTAAAAGAAGCTCGAAAAATAACAGCTCTCTTGAAACCTCTGCCTTACAGCACCCGAGTTACAGCAGTGAAAACAAATTAAGCAAAGATACAGGTAACAATAAAAATAATCACAGAAGTAAAAGATTTGATGAAGAAAAAGTAACAAAAAAGTCCACTCAATATAATGTCATTTTTACAAAAGATTTAAAGAAAAAACTAGACATTGTTTTAAAATATACTTCCAAACATTTTTTAAAAGATGGGAATTACAAAACTAAAATTTTAAATAGTGATTACCTTTGGGGTGAGGTGGGGTGGAGTTAGACTGGGAAGACCACACAGTATGTTCCTAAGTTGGGTAGCATAATTAAAATTCTTCTATTGCAACACTTCATAGCATACATACTACATAAATTGTTTTAGATACAATTAATTCTTCTTTTTAAAAGTTGTATTAAAATAAAAATATGAAGTGACGGGAACCTGAGTTAAGGCAGAAGTAGTGAAAATGAGAAAAAAAGAATGAATAGGATAATGAAACAGCTGTAACAACGTTCAACAATATCACACACACACACACACACACACACACACACACTCACAACCACATTTTCTACTTCTAGCCTAGATACTAATGGTTGAAGAAGTTTAAAAATGTGCATAAGTTCAAATATGCAACAACAAATTCCACTATTATGTTTAATCATATAGCACTAATTAAAAAGATATAAAAATTTTAAAAGATATCATTAAAAAGAATGTAAAACATCTTAAAATTCTATATTAATCAGATGTTGAAAAATATTTTTGATATAGGGACCGAATAAAATATATTACTAAAAAGGAGCTAATAAGGGCTGGGATTGTGGCTCAGGAGTAGAGCATTTGCCTCGCAAGTGTAAGTCGATGGGTTCAATCCTCAGCACCACATAAAAATAAAAAAAAAAACAACTGTATTTGTCCATCTGCAACTAAAAAAAAATTTTTAATTGAAAAAAGGAGCTAATAATTCCATAGCTAATAATTGCTATAAATCAGTATTTAACTTAGAAATGTCCTGTCTCCAAATTTCATGTTCATTCATTACTCATACAAATGGACTGGTTAGAACTCTTTGTCATAAATTCTTTTTTTTTTTTTTTAAGAGAGAGAGAGAGAGAGAGAGAGAGAGAGAGAATTTTAATATTTATGTTTTTTTTTTTTAAGTTTTTTCGGCAGACACAACATCTTTGTTTGCATGTGGTGCTAAGGATGGAACCCGGGCCACACACATGCCAGGCGAGCACGCTACCTCTGTAAAAGCTTCATTTAGGATACACATCAACAATTACTGCTCTACAGAATATATCCTCTATTTATCCTTCTTAAAGATGCAAAGAAACTAAAGGAACAGACATATACTCTTTAGAACTAATTATGAAAAATCTGTTTTATACTTGGCATTTCCCTAACCTAGAATTCCGTAAGTTCAATCCGAAAGAATCAAAATGGCCTTAACAGAGAATYAGTCCCAAATGTACCAGCCCTCTACAACAGAAACCAGGATGGCTGATATCAGTACAAACTAAATCAACTTACACAAGGAGTGGCAAACAATTACTATAAAGGGTCAAACACTAAATATTTTAGGCTTTGAGGGCCAGGTCATTTCTGTAGCACTCAACTTTATTCTTGAAATGAAAAACAGTTATATATAACATACAAATAAATGGGAGTGACTATGTTCTAATAAAATTTTATTTACAGAAACAGGTCATGCAGAATTTGGTCCTTAGGTTATGATTAGCTGAACTCTTCTTTGAACTAAACTGATCAGTCTCAAAAATGCAGTGACTAAAAAGAGCTACATTATAGGGGCTGGGGTTATAGCTCAGCTGTAGAGCTCCTGCCCAGCGCTGTGAGGCCCTGGGTTCAATCCTCAGCACCACATAAAAATAAATACACAAAATAAAGATATTGTATCCAACTACAACTAAAAAATAAATATTAAAAAAAAATAAAAATAGGGGGCTGGGGTTGTGGCTCAGTGGTAGAGCACTTGCCATGAATGTGTGAGGCACTGGGTTAATTCTCAGCACCACATATAAATAAAAAATAAAGGTCCATCAGCGACTAAAATGAATAAATAAATTTAAAAAATAAAATAAAAATAAAAAATAAAAAGAAGAGCTACACTATATATCGCATTTTTTTATTTACTACTGGATTTAACTGAAATGAAAATTTGTAGGKTGGTTCCTCCAACCCAAGATATCCTCACAAACCTTTCTAATGGTTGCATGCCTTCTTCTCACTGAAAAAAGAGGAGGCAAATGAATAATTCTTAGGTACTTTCAAATAACTAATGGTTATTCAAAGACTTAAAACATATACTTTTAGGAAACAGCAATACATTCTTATAGAATGAAAAAATATTTCAGAATAAGAACCTAAAAGTCAGTAAGCATTTTAACATAAGCCAAAATTTTTCATTTTTGTTTTTCCTTTCAGTTTATGATTATCTAAATAATTATAGTTCTTCTGAATAAGAAAAAAGTTCTTAAATAAGGTACAAATAGCCTACACCATAAATTTTACCAATTATTTGAAATGGGAAATTTTCCCTCTAGGTACAAACATAAAACTCTAAAAATAAATAGATAAGCCAGAAATTGGGAGATGTCATTCATCTAACAAAATATTAAGACCAAGTATATATAAAGAAATCCCCAAATGCAAGAAAATGCAGATTGGGAGTATGATGATACAATGAACAAATCTTCAAAATGCCAGACAAGCCAAGCAATGAGGTGATGTGCAGCACTGAGAATTTAAACACTGCTGGTGAAAATATAAACAGGTAAGGCTACTTTGTAAAAACTTTTACATTATCTCAAGTTCAACACATCTAAAGTTCAACACTGAAACCTTATGAATTAGCAATTCCACTTCTAAAAATATATACAGAGAAAGTCTTGAATATGTATGATATGTTGTTCATCAATGAATAAACGGATAAGGTCACACCACATAAGACAATATGAGAAAAATGAATACTACTACAGGGATCAATGGCAGTGAATCTCAAACAATAGTAAATAAAAACAATAGTTTATAGGAAATGCATTTAGTGTGATAGCACATATCTTAAGTTTAAATATGAAAAATAAAATTAACTTATTGTGGAGAGTTTTAAAGAGTCAAGGGTTGTAGCTCACTGGTAGAGCATTTGCCCAACACGCACAAAGGTCTGGATTCAATCCCCAACACAACAATAAAAAGTAAAAGTATAGAAAAGAGACAAAAATGACAATACCAAATCACAGTGTGGGGAGAGGAGGTGGAACAAAGAATGACAGACAAAGCATTTGGAAAAGGGAACCCAATTTCATAAATGTTGGTAGAAATACTGTTCTTTGTATATTTTAGTATGTTTATAATATTTCATAATTATTGTTTTTAAAAGGTACACATAAGGCTGGGGGTATACTTCACTTGGTAGAGAAACTTAACAAGGCCCTAAGGTTAAATCTCTAGCACCACAAAAAAAGAAGAAGAAGAAGAAAAAAAAAAGGCTATACATGAATAATTTACCGTAGCTTTACCTTTAAAAACAAAAACAGCCTAGCAGAATCTCAACCACCTTACACTACTAAAACAAATTCCCATCTTTGAATATAGTGCGCCACCTTGTGTTCAAAAGCTCAGAACAACTACAAAATTCACAAAAAGCGTTTACTTACTAATTCCAAAATGCTGCTACATGAGTAGCATTGACTTCATTAAGTTAAACTCACAGAAGATTGACATTTGAAGTTATTTGGATTCTTAAGTTGGAAATATTTTGTTTTATTGATTCCTTTTTTAGTTTTCACTTTACTTTCAGAGAATAACTTTCATTTTTTCCATGTTATTATATGAATTTCTTAATTCAGTAAATTCAAAATTATAAAATATTTAAAGTACTAAAATATACTTTAATAATGAAACTTACCTTTGAATGTGTGATTGATAAGGTGTCTACCCACACACGCCAGCCACCCCACTCATATTTGACTGCATGGTAAAGTAGGATTCTGAATATGGCATATACCATTTCTGTTATCTTTTGCTCATCTGAATTCTTGGGATTAAAATAGCAGAGAGAAAGCATCCACTCTTGCCACACAGAACACTGTAGCAAGCTCCTGAAAATTGTAAAAGTATACCAAATTATTGAAAAAAATAAAATCATCTGAAAATTTTTGAGAAAGTACAGGTTTAAAAAAAACACAAAACACAAAACAAACAATGTGGTACTAACAACTCTTAACTCTGGTACATTATTTACATGCTTTTAATAAGGAAAAAATATGGAAATTCATTTCACAGTATTTCCTAAGCAATTCTGCTAAGACAATAACAGGCTCATACAAAATTAGACTTGAACGTTTCAAATSAATGCTTTCTGATCCAGCTTACCTCCTGTTTTCTCTACTGTTATTAAAAAGTTTAATCATGTCAGAAAGAAAGGCTCGGCGAACCTCCATGCTCTCTTGGCACTGGGGAGAATTTCGAAGTAGGGTCGCAATTACTTTTAGTATCTCTGCAAGATAGTTCATTAATTACTAAAAACCAAAACACAATAAAAAAATTCATGAAGGAAGGTCATTAATGTACTACAATATTTTTTAGTTTCCTTTTCATAAATATCTATTGAAAAAATCCTCCTCTGTTAACTAAAAAAAAGTTTACATAAGAAATAATAATACATTCATTAGAAAGTAATGATAAACAAGAGAAAGATTTTATTCCATGACTTGAATATATAAAGCAGAGTTGAATTTCTCCCCCCACCCTAATGCTGGGGCTCAAACCCAGCAGGACCTTGCACATGCTAGGCAAACACTCTACTATTGAGTTACACCCTTAGCCCCACAGTTGGATTTTAAAAGAATAAAATAAAACTAGTTCAAATTATAAATGAAGAAATGAAAGCAAAACTGCTGGCAACTCTCTTTAGTCTCTGCCTAACAGTAAAGTTGATTTTAAAAACAAAAARTAAAAGCACTATAATTAAAATTTCAGGAAAAAAAAGATACATTCAGATTCTGCAAACAACTTATGGTATGTACATAGTCATTCCTTTCAAAAGTGAAAGCTGTGAAGATCTTCCTCTATAATTTTAAAAGTAAAATTAGAGACAAAAATTCCAAAGGAAATTAAAATCTATTCAACACTTCTAACCTCCCCAACAAATGCAAACAAGAGTGCTACTGTGATAATCTTAGTGTAAAACTAAAATTTCCAGAATTTAACTTAAAGAAAAATATATGCTAAAAATATGCATTTAATCCAGCACTTTATAGACTTAAAAAAAACATAACTCTGAATTTAAAATTAAACAATATATCCAATTTTTATCCAATTGAAAATTTAAGAATTCTAAACCAGACTTTTGCCAATGATTCAGGTGATACTGAAACATTAAATTCAAAATATGCTTTTTCATACAATTAATGATATTTGGGGAGCAACTTTTGAATTCTAATGACTGATTCAAAAGTTTTCTAACTAAGTAATGATAATCATAATAAAAAAAGATGATAATTACACTAATTTTGAGAATATACTACCACAAGGGACAGTTTTACAAAAATACAGTTAATCCAATCCTTACACAATAAGAAGTTGATACTATTATCATCTCTTTCAGAGTTAAAAATTAATAGACTAAAAGTCACAAAACTAGTAAGATATGTAACCAGGAGTTAATTCAAGTGGCCTCCATTGTGAACCACCATACTATACTATCTTTCCCAAGCCAGTGCATTAGTCTTAGGTAGATGAACTGCTATGATTTGAATGTATTCCCTCCAAGTATTGCTGATGTGAAACCAATAGCGGGATCTTAAGAGGTGATGAGGCCCTGAGGGCTCTTTAAATGAGATTAAGGCCCTCAAAAGGCTTCACATAGACTCTGGCTAGCTTGCTCTACTACCTTCTTTACCTTCACCAGACCAACTACTGTAATCTTCATCTTAAACTTTCCAGCCTCCAAAACTATGATAAAATAAATTTCTGGTCCTTTAAATTATCCATATTCTGTTATCGCAACACAAAATGGGCTAATGTTATATTATTCTAAAATTGGTACATTGAAGACTTTCATTTATTTTTACTCTCAAAACTAATGACATCATATTCTCTGAAAGCAAAGGGAAACTTCAGAGCCATCTTTTTAAAATTTGCATGAAGTAGCATGCTCCACAAACACCTCACAAAACAAAAAGTAATCAAATTTCAAAACCCTACAAACTACTTATTTTTACACCATGATCCTCTTAAAACAAGATGAAAAATGTACATTTTGTTCAAGTACTTAAGAATTCTAAATATCAAAAGACTGTCCAGACTACATTCATATACAATAAAGAATAAACATATTTTCCCATTCCAAATTTAGTATTCTTATTTGACAGTAATTTAAAATGAAAACTACCTCTGTGATTCATGAAAGTTATTAGCCTCACAAAATACTAACATTGAAACTTTGCTGAAAATCTGATCATACATTAAGTCAAGATCTGATGAATAAAATTCTTCAAACCTTTATAAAAGCCAAATAACTAAAGGTAAATTTGATGTTAAATCCAACATAAAACTAGTATTATATGCCCTGAATTAAATATTCATCTAAGAATCTGTTTCAGCAACATCAACTTAGGGTTTTTCATAGTATCTTTCTCTTTAAGTAGCAAAAATAGTGTTTTTAAAGTATGTAAAATACATACGAGGATTTTGAATCTTTACTGAAGAATCAGGATCTGGATGCTGTTTATGTATCACCTGAGTACAAATCTGTTCAATAAGAATCTACAAAAGAAAAACAGTAGAATGAATGAGACATAACTTTCCTTTGTTCATCTATGAATACACAACCAGTGTAACTCCACATCATGTACAATCAAAAGAATGAGATGCTAATGAGTTATATTCCATGTACTTATAATATGTCAAAGTACACTCTACTGTCATGTACATCTAAAAAGAACTAAAAAAATTAAAATAATCTATAAAAGAAATACACTGCACTTGCATAATCACAATATTAGCATAACTACTAAGGAACTCGAAGTACAATGATCATCAAAATCTAGTATATGGTATAATATTTCAATGATAAATATTTTAAAGCACATGAAATAAATCATTTCAACATGCTATTTTTACTTATAAAGTGAAACATCAAATAGTCAATACAATGGAGGAAATAAGTAAACTGGGATAACTACTTTGTTTAGTAATTCAAGAATTAATGGCTTTATAAAAGTGCAGCCATATCTGCTTTATATAAATAATTTCAAAAATTGTGCATTATAAACCTAAATGGTCTAATTTTATTTAGACACTGACATCTCAATTACACAGGTACTTATTATTATTTCTTATTATAAAAATAGTAAGAAATTACCAACAGTAAATTCTAACTAAATTCCTACCTCAAAAAGAACATTATATGTGGTCATTGTTATTAGATTTGTCTGAAGCATGAGTCTCTCAGCTAGCAATGAAAACAATCCATGCCCAAGCATGACTTCTGCTTTTCTCCTATAGAAAGAAATCATCAAATGCAAGTTTTATTACACACTATTTAGTATGTAAGTTGTATAAAGGAAACATAAAAATGTTTTTCAGATTACAAACTCCACCTCAGTTACTCTCCCATGTTCTTTAACCTAGTACTTTTAAAGCTACAAAACATTTAACTAGAGAAATGCTAACTACAATATAGGCATAGTTAAAGTTAAAAACAGTAAGACTGGTTATGCCACAACACTACAAAACCTTTCACCACAATCTTCAGAGTAATTATTTATTTAGCTAGTTGCTACTATCTGCCAGCACTGAGACAGACTCTCCAGGGGATGATCATCTCAAGTACAATTACACACTATAAGAGAAAAGCAACAGGGAGGAAAAGACAGAAGAAATGTCAAGATAATTTAAAAAGATAAATACTACAAAAACACATGGACCAAAATTACCATTTCAAGCATAAACTTTCAAACTAAAAGATCACAAACTTTAATTTCATTCCTGGGATCAGCAAACCTATTCTGAAAATATTTGGACAGTAAATATTCTAGGATTTTGGACCATATGGTTTCTGTCACATATTAGCACTGTCCTTATATCATTAAAACAGTCATAGATAATATGCAAATAAATGACTGTACTTGTGTTCTAACAAAACCTTAAAAATTGAACTTTACAGCACTTCTTAAACCTATAAAATTTAAATTTTTATAAAAAAATACTTTTGGTAAGAGAAACAATGTACAAAATAGATTGTCTGCATTCCACTAAGAAACTAAATGTGGCAGTTTCAAGTTTTCGTAAGCCCAAGTATTCAGAACACACTAAGCGACACACATTCAGGTTATGTTTCAGATTTATAGCTCAGAAACTGCAAATGATGGTGCAGGTCACTGAATGAAGTCTTCACAGTTTCTAAAATTGAAATAGTAATTCTCATACTAATTAAAATAGTAATTCTCATACTAATTCTCAAACTAATTTTCATAGTTAACCCAAAATATAGTAATAACTTAAATGCTTTTTATATTTTTAAAAAACTACATACTTTTGTACAACTTTATTTTTAAATACGTACTATGGATTTAAAAGTATATGTATTTGGGCTGGGGCTGTGGATCAGTGGTAGAGCACTTGCCTAGCACATGTAAGGCCCTGGGTTCAATTCTCAGCACCACATATAAATAAATAAAATAAAGGTCTATTGACAACTAAATCTTTTTTTAATTTTTAAAGTATATGTATTAATGAATAAAAATTTTCAAGACCCTAGCACCAAAAAAAAGAAAAGAAACCAAAGGGAACACAGAACAGAAGCACTATTCCCAAAAGCTTATAAAATAAATAAGTAATAAATAATAGTCCATTTTAGTTTTCATGCATACTCACTTTGGGGCCAGATGTTTTAAAAAATAGCCCATTGCCTTGAGAGCTTGTACTCGTATCCCTTCACTTTTTGATGCCAGAAGTTTGTAAATAACACTAAATGAATAAAAATTAAAAACAAACTATTCTGAGTATAATTTTCAAAAGTAAAGATTTAAAGTACATATACTTATTTATATTATTATTACACACATATTTCAAGTAATATATACATGAATATAATATACTTTTCTGACATTTAAAAACTTGATAAATTCAGGCACATTATAGAGTTCATTTTCCTCAAAACCAAGAAATGAGAATGAATTAGAATTCAGGAAATGTGGTAACTTTTCATGCATACACAGAGGCAAATTTAAATGCATCAAGCTGGTTTTCAGACACTTTTTTTTCCTCTCACACAGGCTTATCAACATCCTCTAAAAATTCCCAAACAAGTTTAAAGTCAGTACAAATAAAGCATTGACTAGTGGTACACGTTTAAATTTGTAAGTGATTGTCACCATAGAAAGCAAGTGAACAGGCTAGTAAAGAATGATAATTAGAGGGCTGGAGCTGTAGGTCAGTGGTAGATCACTTGCCTCACAGATATGAGGCACTGGGTTCGATCCTTAGCACCACAAAAAAATAAATCCATAAAAAGATATTGAGTCCATTTACAACTAAAAAAATATTTTTTAAATAGTGATAATGAGAAAAGATGTGCAAATGTAATGTCTCAATTTAAAATTTTTAAAACTACATAAATAAAAAGATTTAAAGCGAAATGATCACTAAAGATAAATATCACATTAAATTCTCAAAAATTACATAGTAATCTAATTTTTCAAAAACTCTGAGGACCTTCAAATATAAGTATAAATAAAGTATATTAAAAGTGAAATTGAATTGATTTATTACAGCATTCCTTTCCTCATAAACATTTAGAACAAAGACAAAAATAAGAAATTTTTGTGATTACTTTTAAAATAAATTATCAGTATCTTCCTAAAATTTCAATGTTTAATAAATAAGTCTTAGAAAAACAAAATTCTGAACAAAGAGTAAAATTCTTCAACCTCTAGTGATGAATAAAAAGTATATGTAGGATTAGCTTGATTCTGTTTAAATTCCATTAAATTTATATTATCTCATGAGATATCAGAAATTAGTTATTTTTTAATACAAATCTTACTACAGAAACTGTTAGCTTACAGAATGATTACTGTTGTCATTCATGAGGACAACACTAATAGTTCTGTAAGTTTCTCTTCTTCAGTGATTTAAACTAAGGAAAATGAAAATTATTGATTTATAAAAAATTGATATACAGTTAATACTGGTTTAAAAAACAATATACTAAGATGCTTTTAACATATTAAAAACTATGCTTGCCATAAAGTAATACATAGTTTTGGTCAAAATCACAATGGTTTAATCAAGATATAAACTTCAGATATTATTAATAACATTTAAATAATGTTTGTTAGGATTAAGAACATGTGATCCTGCAATCTGTACACGTGGAAAAATGACAATTCATACCCCATTTGAATCAAATGTATGATATGTCAAGATCATTGTATTGTCTTGAGCAACTAATTAAAAAAAAAAGAACATGAGGAGATCAAAATAACATGAACTGCATCTGCACTTAATATTTATATACACTAATTTTTAACATAGAACATTTTTGTCCAAATCAGAATCCAATTGGTTTTATTCAACTTGCTAAATTTAAGCAGTAGATTTTGTTAAACAGGCCTCTTTTGCTTTTTAATCAAAATTTGGTTACTACTTCATATACACACACACATACACACATAAAAGTACCTCACATATTAGACACGGGAAAAACCCTGTAGTGCATCACTTATAATTTTATCTATTCATGAAATAATTACAAACACATGTACACTGCCCTATTTCAATACAGAGGAAAGTATAAGATAACAAAAGTAACCCAAGATAAATAATATTAAAATCTGAGAATATTTTCATGCAATGGCTTTACTCTGATGCTATGTTCAAATAAATGCATATGGATATTACATGTATTTTTAATTGGAAAACATTATAGTATATATATCATGACATTTTCAATGAAGAAAATAAAATTCAAGTAACAAATACATGAAAGGGAAATTTAAATAGTAACATTATTTCATTCTCATCATAGATATTAAAAAACTTCATTAAAATAGACTCAAAAATTCAAAATTCACAATTGAAGCAGGACATATGATGAGAATGACACCGAATTTAAAAATAGTCGCTTCTAATCAACGCCAAATGCTCCAAAATAGTGAATTAAATTTAATATCAGAGATAAAGTTAAATAATTTGACAGTAGAAAAAAATTTTGTATTTAAAATCTAAATGTAGACATTTAATTGATGAAAATTAAATGGCCAATCATATTTTGGAAATGCCACTGCCTATTCCAACCCAGTTTGGCACTTTTAAATTATCTTTTACCACTAAAGACTAGTCCCATTTGTTGATTCTTGTTATTAACTCTTGTGCTATGGGTGTCCTAGTAAGGAATTTGGAGCCCGACCCCACAATATGTAGATCGGAGCCAACTTTTTCTTCTATCAGACACAAAGTCTCTGATTTGATATCAAGCTCCTTGATCCATTTTGAGTTAACTTTTGTGCATGGCGAGAGAA